TTTTTTTTTTTTTTTTGTCCTCTGTTTTCATGCCTCTGAGTAGGCCACTGTAACACTCAACCTTGGTTTGCGGTACTTACAGCACTGGAATGAACTGAGCATATTCTAACAGAATTATTTTTCCTTTCAGAATCTAATAATAATAATAAACTTTTATCTCTTCGAAGAAAATTGAAGATGCAAAAATAGGCATTTCTTTCTAAGTCATAACCATTATATTTCTCTTAGATTTCATTTTAATCTTAAAGTTTCTGTAATGTGCTACCTTAAAAAAATTATAACTTGTGTTTTAAACAAGTCCTTCTAATATTATTAAGCTCCTTCACTTGCCCAGTTGGTAACTAAATGCAAACTGTATTTTCAAAGGAAGATTCCCTGATGAAAACATATTGTAGTTGCAATAGCCTAAAAGCAGCTGCCTTTTGGATTTATAGAAATATTTCTTTCAAATATTGCCCTCTGCTGGAGGGTTAATGAAGTTTTACAGTGCCAAAGCACATTTTTACAAGACCAATTATTTTAATATTGGAATTCCCATAATGACTGACCCATGTAGAATTTCAATAATTCCTTTTAAGATTCTGAAAGAACTACAAAGTACTAGAGTAGAAAATAAATTATAAATAAACCATGTAATATGTAATTGAAATGTTGCTAATTAGCATCATAACACAGCCCTGATTTCTACATCAGGGTAGCTATTGGATGTGCTTTGCAGCATTGTCACTACCATTACAAACCTGAGAGGATTTTTCCCAGAAGAGGAAAAGCTGCACAGTTACATAAGCACGTCTTCCCAGTGTATCATGGCTTCACTGTGCCATTGCAGATGCTCAAAGGAAACCCATATTAATAGATTTTTCTGAGAGGCAGCAGGAACAGAATATTGTTTTGCAGGGATGCATTAAATGGGGTTGGATTCTGTAATTCAAGCCTTTCAGAAGGGTACTGAGCCTTTTTCTGAGCTGGAATTTGAGGTTGTAAAGCCTGCCAGGAAAGGGGGCTTTGTTTATTTATGCTGTGCAAGGAGTTCTGGCCCTTTTTTTTTTTTAGAAAGCTCAGCACTGTCATGGCTTTGATGCTATGGCTAATAAGTAGCAGCAATAATTATTAGCAAAATAATAGCATTTAATAAATAAATTATGACTGATTTGGGAAAGATAAATAATTTGTCATATCACACCAAAATGGAGAAGAAAAGTCCAGATTGTACATTCCTAGTTGTTTCTCTTAGTAGAGGAGAATTAACTAGTCCTTACTTGCATAAAATATGCAAAGTAGAAAGCAACCTTGGAAAGTAAAATCCTGTAGTGACTGGGCGCTGCTGCTGTAGCTACCTGAAATGGAAATTTTATGTCTATCAGGTGGTACATCCAGATATTACTGAGTCACGTCCTGATCAAGTTCAGCTGGTTTGGCTTCACATGAGAGCAGTAGGCAGCTAATCTCATTGGCTCTACAGAATTTGTACAGTCTTGTCAGCTTTTAAAACACGATTTTAACCTTGGTAAAATCAGCCATTTCTAGAAGAAACAGCACATGACATTAATCAAAATTGTTATCAATAATTATTTTTATCATAAACACCTGTCACAGTCAGACCACTCACAAAAGTGCACTCAAACTTCAGTGAAATCACAAGGGGCTCTTTCCACTGGTGTCAGTGGAGCAGGGGAATAGGACATTATTCAGAACATTCTAGTCCAGATGATCACTGCTAAATGTTCACATATTGACCAGGAGGAAAGAGATTCAGCCAAAAGTTGCTAAGTAAAAAACTGCAGCTCTGAAATGGCTCTAACAATATCTGTGGGATGATTTGGTGCAGTCCAAGATGCTGCAGATGGCTGTGTTTTTCACATAGAACAGAAAACTTATTGTTTCATGATGAAATCTTCCAATTAAATACAATTTTCTTCACATCATTGGATTTTCTTTAACTTTTGCTCATGTGAAGGCTAAAGGATTGAATCTTTACCTGCCCTTTTATTTCTATAAATAATTCATTTTTAAGAATTTCGAACTGAGTTATTTCAATAAGTTAATTGCTTTTGGAGGTGGAGAATTACAGATGTGGTTCTTAGCTAATTTTTTCTTATTGCTATGTATCTTATCTCAAAATTTTCTACAATGACCTTCAGAATAGTGCCTAAATATTGTATAACTCTTTTAGAGAAGTTCAAAGTCAATACATCAATAAAACTCCCTTCTCTCTAACTTTTAGTCTTTCTGAAGAAAAATACATAGTAAACTAAAATTTTCATCATGGTACATACTTGTGACTTTAAAAAAGTTATTATTTAAATCCTATTTTTGATCTTATCTTTGCTGTTCATTCACTGCAAAATGAATTTTCTCTTTCCCAAGTGTCATGCAAGCAGAATTTATAAATGAACAAATATTTATGAACCATTTTGAAAAATAAGCATATATGTATTACTTTAACTTCATAAGATCATACATTCAAAGTCTAAGATATTTTGTTATTGCTGTTTACTGAAAGGTGACAAAATACTGCTCTCAATAATACAGTGTCATCTTCAGGAAATAAAATTATGTCCTTAAAATCTTAACTATGCCATTAAACCTGTGTGTAATACAGACTTCTGGTACTGAGGAGACCATAAACATGCCTCAAAAATTATGAATTATGACCTAATTATTACTCCTGTTCATGGTACTGTCTACTAAATCCAATGGAATTTGATGCCACCTGAAGAAAAAGTAATTTTTTACCTTCCTTGGTACTATGGAACTGTAAAATCACACAGCAATACCAAAATAATCATCATGCTTGCCAGGCCACCAGAAAGAAGATTTTCTGGAAGAAGCAACAGTTTTATAAACCCTTTTTAGTAAACTGTTTATTGGAAAAAAAAATCATTCATTAAAAGAAAATATTTAAATAAAATCTTGTGCCAAACTTTGACTTAAGAAGCAGAAAAATGTGACAAAAGTATTGTTTTAAACCAGGAATTTTCTCATTCTTCCTGAAAACTTGCAAGGATCGCTTCCTGAACATCTTTGGTAGGCTTTTGTCTTTTTCTCCAGAGTCACCATGATTCACTGCTGGACAAATCACTTGAAAAAAGATACAATTCATCACTGTGAGGATTTAGATGTAGTGTCCATGTGTTGACAATTAAAGATGTGTCTAATCCAAGTCAAAACTATACGAAATTAAAACGATATGAAATTGAGTTGACAACACTTTATAGATAATTTTGCCTTTTGGAGGCATCATCCTCACTATCCATGAGTGTCTAAAGCCATATTTCATGAAATGGGCTGTGCCTATAGCTCCAGACCCAGGCTGTGAGCACAAAGTGGTTTTTATGTCCTGTTGAGGGGTGTATGACACAATGGTGTAAAAAGGAACAGCTGTAATATGGTACAATGCTCACAGAACCTCTTTCTGCTTCCTCACAATCTGAGATATTTACATCTTGAGTGGTGCTTTAATTTCCTGAGCTGCAGGCCAGATTGGTGATTTACAGGTCACACAACAAACGTGGCAGAAGCTGAACTGTTGGATCAGATCTTGACTCTACTTCCACAACAACACGATTTTCCTTCTTATCTTGTGTCAGAGACAGAACATGCTTGGACTGAAACATGCTAAGGAATGCCTGTGTCTGGGCAGAACTTACACATTCACGTGGTATTTTGGAAATAGAAATCCAGAACTTTGGGCCACGATCACAGGGACAAAGAGAAAAATCCATCAGGAAGCTGGCCACAGAGGAAATATAAATGTGGCTGTGGACTTTGCCAAGCAAAGCTGAGAGGTTTTTCCACTGCTTCAGCTAAGTTCAATATATGGCAGCTCAGTGCTTGCAAATTGGGCTGCTTTTTCAGATGCCCTTATTCAGTTGCTAGGATATTTTTACATTGGAGGTTTCCTATCAAATTTGCCCTAAACCAGGACAATTGCTTTGCCAGTAGTCTAAAAGGCACAAGAAATGAAACATGATAGACTACAGGAGTTGCACACTCATTTCTTCAAGTGGTTTCTAGTTTTAAACCAAACTGGTGGTAATTTGCTCAGAGATCTCTGCACTAACATAGATGATGAAATATTCTAAAGCTATGCAACAAAATACAGGGTTTTGTTTATTTGTTAATTAATTTAGGAACATCTTGTTTCTTGAGCATGTAAATTCT